ATAGTATGGAAGATTTGGTTATGATGAATTGTTTGTTTGTGGTCTGTTTTGATTCTACCAAGTTGCTGAATTGCAAGTTGAATAAAAATACTGCATGCAACATAATTCAATTGCCTTTTTTTATAAAAGAAACATTTTTGTCTGTTCATATAAAAACAGAAGAACATGATGATGCATATTCATCTGTTTTATACGAATAGATGAATATGCAGCACCTATATTCATCTATTCTTATAAAACAAATGAACATAATATTAGTTTGTTATATTCGTCTGTTTTGAACCAGATGAATATAGTCTTTCTTATATTCGTCTATCATATAACAAACAAATATATAACTCTTATCTATGTCTCTTCAATCAACATCTCTTTCTAAGCAAATAAAAATAAGCCCCCTAGATAAAAGAAAATAGCATAACTTGTAGTAGTGAAATTATAAAAGACCCCCACAAACTCCAAACAATTTGCTTGTTACCAAAGAAAAAAAAAACCACTTGACTAACATGTTTTTTCATATAACTTCCTCTAACAGAATTAAAAAGATTGAGCTGTGATTTTAACATTAAAGTTTTAGGTAAACAGTATCTAACGCAATTTAGTTTTGAATAGTATAAAATTAGATACTATTATTGAAAAAAAGGAACAATTTTACCACTTTTGTTGATAAATCCAAACACACGTTATTTTTAGTTCACCGAGATCCAGTTGATGTCGACGTTATTTATACCCACCAATAAAAATGCTCCGACTGCCCCAAAATTAAGGCTGAACATGGATCAGACCAGGCTGGGCAGGGCATTAGCCCGTGGTCTAGTCCATTTTGGTCTTGACCAATCTTGCTCAGTGAGGAACCTGTTGTTCTTCGAGTTGGGCAGACTGGACCAGACTAGACTGGGTTACTGGTCCAGTAGGTTTGGTCCAGTGAGCTGGAGAGCAGTGAATTCTGCATTCCAAAAAAGGGAAAACAGATATTAATAAACTCCAACATGGACAAAATATTCTTCTCAAAGCAATACTAAATTGAATTTTAACTAGTTAAGCGGGCATTTACCATTAGCTAGACTTTATTAAAATTCAAAGATCATACATGTGCAACTGTTTTGTTGACTTAGGCTGTTCTTTGAGAGAGTAAAAAATAATAGGAATCAAATTTGAAAATGCAGTTAAACAGAAAGCATGTGTAGAAAGAATCCTTATTTTCCTTCCTTCTCCAAAATATCCAACATTTATATAACTAGGCACTTGTTAAGAAAAGCATGCTAGAGGTTAAAGTAATTTTTAGAATAAACCTGGTGGCTAGGTCTCATTAGAAGAACGGTCCTCCCTTGCTTGTCAATGTAGTTAGATCTATAGATCTTTCCTGTTTCCGCTTCATGAGCAACCTCTTCCTACATTATCAATAGAGACATATTAAACACCTTTTATCAAACGAATATCACTATGTGAGAGTTCAGCTAAGTCTAGAGCTCTTGCAGGTCACAAAGAATCCAGTTGAATAACCAATCAACTAAATTCATTTAGTCAATCAAACTTACCTGACGGTGATGGAGCTGAAGAGCAGTGCGAGCCGGCAACTGGCAAGCAAATAGTGAGCTACAAATCGAAGGGCCAGGAGGCAAGCTTGGTTACTAGCTGCTAGGGAATGGGGGTCGCCGGCGCTACGCAAATCACAGAAGGGGATGGGCATGATGAACTAAGAGCCTGAGACACAAATGCCTTCGCCATCTTCACTAATCGCTGAGAGCCTGAGACGTTGATGCCGCTGCTAGGTTTGGAGGGAGAGAGAATTTGGGAATGCTCATAAAGGATGCCTGATGAAGTGATGGTATGATCTCTGATGGATTCGAACATTCGGTGGGGGCAAGTGTAACATCCTGAGTTTTATCGGGTTTTAATATCCTCTTTTTGGTTGATTTTAAGGATATATTAGTGATTTTAATGTTGATCTTGGTGTTTGGGTTGGAATTGAGGTATGTTGGAGGAATAGGTGAACAGACCCCTCTCAGGGTTTGTTTGCCGCAGCGAAGTTTTACTTCACCGCGGTGAACCGGGAGTTCCAGGGGGAGTGTCTTTTCAGGAAGGTTTGGCTGTGGCGAAATCAGAGTGACGCCATGGCGAAGTTGTTTAGGTGAGCGAGGTTTCCCTCTCAGGAAGGTCTTGCCGCGGCAAAGTTTGGGGTATGCTGTGGCGAAGGTTTTCTAGGCGAGCGAGAGTTTCCTCTCGGGAATCTTTCGCTGCGGTGAAGATTGGAGTTCGCCTCGGCGAAGTCAGGTTTTCAGGCGAGTAATCCCTCTTGGGATTAGTTTGCCGAGGCGAAAGGTGTCGAATCTATGTAGTCGCGGGAGGATCTGGTTCTGCGAAAATTAGAAAATTTGAAGGAGGAGAGAGAAGCTCTGCTAGGGTTTTGATGTTGTGGCTTGGGAAAGGTGTTTCTAAGGATCCATCACCTCAAGTAAGTGATTTTAACCTCTAATCTACTTTCTTTCTTGGAATTTATGAGGATTTATGGTGAAACCCTAGAGTTTTCTAGGTTGTTATGGAATTGAGGTTTTTGACCGATTGTTTTGAGTTTAATTGATTGCTTTGGGTTAGTCTAAGTATTTAATCGGTGTAGTTTTCTTGGATTTGAAGAACTTTGAGTTTTTGAAATTAGGGTTTATAGAAAAGGGAGGTTTGTGATTGAGGATGATAATGTAGAGGTTGATTTTGAGTTTTGTGATTTGGGTTATGTTAAGGAGGGTTAAATTGGATGTTCAATCGGTTTAGAATGTTGTTAAGACTTCTATTGTTCAAATGGGATGTTTGGGGTGTTGAATTCCTATAGTGGGTCCTTGAGGTTTGAATCCTAAATTGATATTTGGAGAGGAATTAAGGTTTTATTGGATTTTTATGACCTTGAAGTATTGCCTTGGTGGTTAAACCCTTTTGAATTAGGTAGAGTTTTGATTGGAGATAGGAATTTTGTGTCTCCAATTGTTGTTTTGGCCACATTATTAGTTGAAAGCTAATACATGGTGGTTGTGTGTTTGTGTGCTTGTGTAGACCGGTTGTGAGCCTTGTTGGTGCATGGGGCCGTGTTGTTGGTTTGTTTTTCCTTGCTCAGGCGAGAGGTAACCACTTTCCAATCCTTTGTACATGCTTTTGTGGTATTGTAAGTGGATTTATGTTTTGTGCTTCGAGTAACAACTGTGTTCAAAGTGTATGTTGTATATTGAAAAGGAAAACCGTCTTGTGGGGTTTAAATTGATATTGATTGAATCTGGAACTTGTGAAAGATAGGCCACTGAAAGAAGTTAATTGTGAAATGATCATTTATTCTTTGATTACGGTTTGAGCATGATGTATGACTTGGGAATTGGTGAGAGTTTTGATTGTTACTACCACGTGGTAAGGCCTCCATTAATGCATGATGGTTGGCTCTTTACGTCCCCCATAGTGAGGGATAGGCTTTTTGGCTCCCTACGTCCCCCAGAGTGAGGGATAGGCCTTTTATGGCTCCTTACGTCCCCCATAGTGAGGAATAGGCCGGGTTCAGCTCTTGAAAATCCCCTAAAGTGAGGGATATGGTTGATGGGATTGCATCATTGCACTTATATGACTTGTGTGGCTATCATTTATAATATTACTTGTGAATTGCCCCAATTGACACCTCACGAGCACCTATTTAGTAGTACCTTGAATTGGAAAGGTTGGTTACTGGGACGTTGTCTCACCCCGTGGTTTACAATGTTTCCAGGTGAAGGTTCCGGGTGTGTGCCATCGGGAAGAGACGCAGAGGCTTGAGCTTGGTTAGCTTTAGGCCTCTAGCCCTTGTATATGTATGGCTAGTATATATTGCCACATTTAGGATCCTTTTTGAAATATTTTGATTACCCGGCCTTGTCGTAAACTAGAGAGAATGTTATCTCCTTATTTTGGTTGGCCGGAGGCCATTTCTAGTGTCTTATGAACCTCTGATTTATTTTGTTGGAAACCATTTGAATGGGCTGATGTGATGTCTGTTGTTATCTGAGCCGGAGGCTCGGAGGCCCAGTGGATGTTAATGAATGATTTTTAGTTGTATGCAACGGAGTTTGCGTTTGACCCGAGTTTGAATGTTAATTTCTAAAGTTATTAAATTTCTTTCTACTATGGTAGTTTATTTTAACAGCTTTCCTTTTCTACCATAGTAGTGATATTATGACGAGTTTATAATGTTTTGGGGTAAAGGGTTTTACAGCAAGGCCACAAGGGAAATCATAATTGGATCTGGGGAAAAAAAAAAAGACTTCAACATGGGCCTAAATCAGAAATGGACTTGTTAGGGAAAAAAAAGAAGAAAAGAAACTATAATATGGGTCTATGCAGCTTTTTTTTATATCTCACAAAAAATCACTGGGTAGGACCGGGTTATCAGTCCAACATGTCTACCTGTAACCCGATCATACCCGATCTTCGGGCCAGATCGGGTCTAGCCGAATCTCATCGAGCTTTTTGGATTGTTTCAAAAATTGGACCAGGTGAGACCGGGTTGGACTGGGTTACCTGGTTTCATGTGTAGCCCTACCCAAAATTTTTCCTCATTTCTCTCTATACCGAAACTTCGGTAGAATATTCAATTGCCAGTCTCTATATACGTGTTTTGTTGTTATTGAATTAGTTTTTATTTTTGGTTGTGACAAGACTACACGCATGTGTGTGTGTGTGTACTATATACATTGATATTTCAGGCCCAAAAAAAAGATATTGATATGAGGTATCTGACTGCATTGTGAATCAGCGTACAGATTGTGGTTTAACGAGTCCAAAGCCACCATCTTGAGTCCAAAAAAAATAAAAACAGATGTTATCTTTACAACATAAAATGAAAAGAAAAATTAAGTTAAAAAAAAGAAAAAAGCTGTCACATATGTATTTTTGTATTTCTTTATTTTTATATTTTTTTTACTTTAAAATTTTTGTATATTGTGATGTTATTATGTTAATAATTAGAACTTATAATTATTTCTTATTAAATGTTTATTTAATTATTACATCACCCCTAACTTGTAACCAAGTAACGACGCGTTAATAATCAGACTGAGAAGAAAGTTGAAATTGAAACTCTATAATTATTTATTTAAAACTCACCTGATTACGTTTTTATTCCCCTCATCATGGTCCAATAATACGTATGAACAAGCACTACAAATCTGCCACGCCACTCATACCAAAGCAAAATACTTTCTTAATTTATTGAACCCTTAATGGCGACACTATATCCACTTTTGAGATCAAACGACCTGTCCCAGATCATGACTCCGCCGTACTTCGTAGCCGTCTTGATTGCCGGAAGAACCTGAGAAATCATCACATTAGTTGGAATAAACCCCCCACTTTGGGCGGCCGCCTCCGTCGCCGGAACGCCCAAGAACACCTTCTCGGCTTTCACCGCCGTCCATTGTTTCCATGCATTCAAAAGACCGCTAGTGTCTCCATTATTGTATTGGCAATCACGGTTGTTGTAGAACTGAACCCAGACGTAGTTGAACAAGCCAGTGTCGATCGCATCACTCAGGTGGCTGTCTGGGAAATGACATTGCGGGGCGGCGGAGAGAATCAATTGCTGGCTCAAACCCTTCAGAGTTCTGGCTAGATCGCCCCAGTACTGTTGTCCATTACCTCCGGCCTCTATGTCGAAGTCGATGCCGTCCAAAACAGCGTCGCCTAGGGGCCGCGAGCCGGAACTTCCTCCGAGGAAGTTGGTCCAGAGATAGTTAGCAAGCTGGTTGGCCTCATCGGCGGAGTTGAGAGAGTAGTTTGGTGAGTCACCGCCGAGGGAGAGAAGCACTTTGATGCCTTTGGCTTGGCAAGCTTTGATTTGGGAGCTAAAAACGGTGCAGGTGTTGGCATCCGGATCGCAGTGGCTGCCAAGGTTAAGTTTGGGGGTTCGGCCACCGCCAAAGGTGGACAAGAAAGCTATGTTGATGAATTGATAGTTTCCGGTGTTACAGGCGTCGGCAAGGGAGCCTTCCTCGCCGTGTTGGCCCCAGTAGGTGGCGATTCCGGCAGCGTAGGACCTGGAAAGGAAGGAAGAAATAAACAAGAAAGGTAGGAAGAGAAGAAAAATTTGTTGAACAGAAGCCATAATGTTGATGTGGATGATTTGAAAGAAGAGAAGGACGATATTTGTAGTGTTTGTGGTGTGGAAAAGTAAGAGAAGCGTGGCTTGTAGGGAATTGAAACTATGCTAAAAGAGCATTCCAGGAAATTGCTGAGCTATTACATGTCATGGACGAATCAAGAAAAGTCGCCTTGAGTAAATAATGTGAAAGCATATGCTCAGGTCAAGCTGAAAGACGGGAGCAAATTGTAACTTCCTTATCACAGGTGGAAACAAAAACAATAACGATTGTAGGCTTGTTTGGTTTCTTATTTTAAAAACAGTTTTTTGTTTAAAAAAAACAAGAAACTTGTTTACTAATTTATTTTCAATTGGTTGTTTTAAAAAACAAAAAAAAATAATAAGTTTTTAAAAATTAGAAAAATAAAAACAATTTTTAGATGTTTTCTTGTTTTTATTTTAAAAAATTGGAGAAACTTCTTTCTCTTCTTACCTATTGCCCTGCCAAATGTGATTTTTTTATTTTTGTTTTAAATTTGATTTTTAAAAATAATTATCCAAACATTTTTTCATTTTATTCTAAAACTTTATTTTTTTTTTTTTGATGAGTTCTAAAACTTTATTTTAAAAAATTTTTATAAACCTCTTGTTGAAAACAAGGGGAAAAAAAAAAGGGACAAGCAGAAGCAAACATGTCCCCTATTTGCAAAGAGTCGATTTACCATCAGGGGTTACAGCTTTGTCCCCAAAAGAAAACCCATGGAGGTGCAGTTAATTGTGGCTCTACTTTGACGCAATTAAAAAAAAAAATCATTAGCCATGACTCATCAATAATTCAATTTTCTACCGATATAATTTTTCCTCAGGTTATAAATATACACACATTTAATTAGTCACACCTTGTATTTTCACAAACCAATCAAATAAGGAAAATAAAAAAATTACATGTTCTCAGACGAAGCTGAAAGCCTTGTGTATGTAGGAGTTCAAAAAGATTTTTGGGCAAATATTGGTTTAATATTTTCAAAAAGATATATGATTATTAGGCCACTAAAGCTTCTTGGTTATATGGTACGAAATATTATACTCCTCCGATCCTTAATATAAGACCCAATTGTTAAGTTGATTTTGGTCTCCAATATAAGACCTATTTCTAATATTTATCACTTTTTTTTTAAATTACCCCTATGAATACTTTCTCAATCATAATCAAGTAGAAGATGAAGATGGGGTATTAAAAAAGATGATTATGATATTTTAGGAAAAACATGTCATATTTTTTATAATTACCTAACTTACCTAACTTCCTTAATCTAATCAAATTAGTTAAATGAGTATTATATTAAAGACTGGAGGAGTATAAGATAACCATCAAATTTTAAGATACATGAGATGACTAGAACAACTGAAAGAATAACAAGCAATTCCCCTTGCTAATGCTGAAACATAACAATATGCCATGTTGATTAATATTATTATTTAAATATTAATTTTTAAGGGTTATATGTATGGATATTTTTATATATTTTAACTAAATTATATTATTTTAAACATATACACCTTAAATTATTGTGTATTGATCCATCCACACCTTTCACTACTATTACTGTCATTTGGTAGCCAAGCCAGATCATGTCGAATTACTCAAAAGTTTCATAATTATAAAAATAAAAGAATTAAATTTAAATAAATTTGCCCAAAGCATGTATGAACACGTTGAAATATGTGGCGTTCTAAGTCAAGCGACGCTTTATCCTTACTAAATAAACTATGGCATTGACTAGACTTTTCTTGAGTCCATCGAAAAGGTTACCCTTATATATTTATTTTTATTTTTATTTTTGTTTTAAGGTCCTTTTCGAGGCAAGTTTCCCTACAATTTGTAAACATGCGATTTTCTTTTTCTTTCTGTTTAACATTCTGACGTAATGCTTCTTTTCTTATATGTTAAGCTCATCCATTTGGGCTTAAATAGTTATATCCTATGTTGTCTTAAAGATGGCATTTTTTTCCTCCCAAATTGTTTTAAAGATTAGATTGCCTTTGAATATTCTCAAAGAAATTTTTTTACTAAAATATTATACGAGGGTCGAAATATTAAGATAGATTGATTTAAATAGTACTGAGAAGAAGGATGTGTACATGTACCTGGAAGTGGAAGAAGAAGAAGAAAATTACCATCTTCACGCCTATTTGTAAAAGATTTGAAGTGGGCTTTTATATGTGTTTATGTATATTTTTTCCACATTCTCTAAAGGAACCCTTTTTTCTTTGTCAATATCTCATCCACTTGTTCGGAAGATCCTTTCAGTACAGTTGTTAACATATGGCTTTGGCTGAAGGTGATTTAAAATCATTAGAAACATCTGAAATTCATAAATGCAAATGAAAAATGAAATGCTTAGCTCACTTCCCACCTAAATGGAGAGATCCTTTAAATGAAAACCACAACATTTTCTTGCAAGGGAATAAGTTAATCATAAAAAAGCTATAAGTGGCTGATATTTTTGCTTTGATAAAAATTAAAAAAATATATAATTTTATATTTATAAAGATATTATGAAGCCCAAAACAACTGAAAAAGAAGAACTTAAATTATAAGGGTTCAGATCCCAAAGACTCTTTCTCCACTAAAATTGACAAGAATATACTCCATAGTACTACTTCTTGTTTTTAATATAAAAACTCGTTTGATTTTTATTTTAATATTAAATATAAGACACTAATTTACTTTATCTCTTATATTTATCTATTTTATTAAATGTAGTTTTTGTAATAATGGTACGTAGTTTCAACCAATACAGTTGATTAGTAATGATATTTTAGAATAGACAAAACCTATTTATTATAAATAATTAAGTAAATTATTTTTTTAATCTATTCAAATTAGTTAACTAGCTCTTATATTAAGGATTGAAGATAGTAAAAGATCTTGAAAGATCCTCATTTGCCATTGCACCAATGAGGTTGGTTTTGCTATCTTGAAATAACTTGCAACCTCAGCTCCCAAGAGTATCTCATAAAGGTTTGAATCTGAATGGAGCTTAAACTAGCTCCTCTATTACCTTCGATTATCTTGTATCATATCCAAACGTTTTTTAGCACCAGATTCCAGTATAACTCTCTTGAATCCTAGATCCAAGCAATATTCTAGCCTTCAAATATTGCCCATTCTCTGCTTCAAGAGCATTGCAAGTACCAATAAAATGAGTGAAGCCAACAATCCAATTACCAGCTGTGTAATCTTGAATCACTCCTTCACATCCAGCTTTGTTGTTTGATGAGCTCATAGCACCGGCTACATTTAATTTAATCCACCCCACTCTGCATGTAATTGCCAAACTCGTCGTTCTGGAGGGACAAAACTATTAGAAGCGGTTTCCTCCTGCACCTGAACATATTTCTTCCAATCCTGCATCATAACTGTAGCAGGCTCCGAAGGTGGTTTTTAATATTCTCATATTGAAGATAATCCTGTTCCAAAGGTTTTAAGTAATCAGCATCAAGCAAATTATTATTATTTCTCCATTTCCAAAGGCTTCAAATAGCTACTCCCCAAATTTGATTTCAAAAAAAGGCCGCCCATTTACAGATTAAAGAAGCCCAACATTGGGAGGCCCACTGCGCGAGAAACAAAAGACGAAACAGAAAACGTAAAACCACAACTCAATAAACATTAATAAAAGTTGACCCAAATGTCTGAGTGAAGATCCAGTAGGCCAAGCCCAAGCCACGAAGACATTTCTGTAGCTCCAATAACCAAAAGATAGCACGAACAAGCTTGCAAGAGGAACGCCGCAATGGTTCATCATAAGAAACCAACGCCCCACGACGTAGATGACCCTCAGGTTATTGGAAATATCTTTGGCCACCAAAAGTAGAGAAAGTCTGCAGTAATGAGCTTGAATGTTAGAGATATTAATCAAGAATTAATCACACAATTCGCTAAGATCTTGTTGTGTTAGTGGCCTATACAAAGAATCCCTATCACGGGTTTTAGGCGTGATGGGATGCGTGAAGAGAGGGTAACTTGAGTCTCTCTCTAGAAAGCTAGCTGATGTGTTAGTCGCCTGTGTATATGTCCTGTTTCTGACCAGCTTTTTTGGTAGGAAGCTGGTTGCTCAGGTGAACTCCGATGTCCATCCATTACTGTCAGTGAAAAAAACAACTAAGCAAGATCTCCACGTCTTTGCACCCATCTTGAGATCTGGATATGTATTATAAAGGGAATAAATGAAGGAGCAGGTCAGCAGAATAATAATATAGAAACGTGAACGATGATATAACTGAAGATTAACTTCTAAGTGTATTATTGCAGCAGGAACCCTTTGCATCTATATGTATATATATAGCAACGTTAGTATCATGACTTGGTGAACCCATAGTCTGACAAAAATGCAACATGACCTTACATCAGCGTTTCACAATAAGATGGAAGAAGTGATGAATGCATGATACAGTGAGCGCCTGCATGTCGTGGCAGTGTAATCACCATATTATTGGATTCTTGCATTGTTGGACTTATCGAAAAACATCTCTCCCAAATAAATGGGCTCCCACTCATTAAGCTCTCTTATCAAATACTAACTAATTTAAAGAATCGAGTTAGATAATCTACGAGTGTTTTCTCTGGACCCTGTTATCAAGTATTTGAGTAACAAGCTAATCAGAATGAAGCTTTGTATAACCACTTTGGGTGGCAAGCTCTCCCAACAAATTTCAACGTAGCTGCATACCTAGGGCGACCATAAGAACACTAATTAAGCTAGATAAACCCTTTACCAGTTTGACCAAATGCTTGTTAGTCTAATTTCTAACTAGCTTTTATATTCATGTCTGGAAGTAGTAATTCAATATTTCCTTCATAGTCTTATTATTGGGTCTCTAATACTTTATGATAGGTCTTTTTGAAATGCTGGACTTCTATCCTCAAATATATATATTTTGTATTTCTTTATTTTTATATTTTTGACTTTAAAATTTTTGAATATTGGGATGTTTAGATTCATTATAGACTTATAATGATTTTTTATTAAATGTTGATTTAATTATTACATCAACCCTAACTAGTAACTATGTAACTACGCATTAATCAGACTGAGAAGAAAGTTGAAATTGAAACTCTATGATTATTTATTTAAAACTCACCAAATTAAGTTTTTATTTCAATCACCATAGTCCTGTAGTACGTAGGAACAAACACTATAAATCTGCCCCTCATTCTAAAGCAAAACACTTTCCTAATTTATCGAATCCTTAATGGCGGTGCTATATCCACTGTTGAGATCAAACGACCTGTCCCAGATCATGACTCCACCGTAATTCGGAGACGTCTTGATTGCAGGAAGAACCTGAGAAATCATCGCATTGGTTGGAATAAACCCGCCGCTTGGGGCCGCCGCCTCCGACGCCGGAACGCCCAAGAACACCTGCTCGGCTTTCACCGCCGTCCATTGTTTCCATGCATTCAAAAGACCGCTAGCGTCTCCGTTATTATATTGGCATTGACCGTTGTTGTAGAACTGAACCCAAACGTAGCTGAACAAGCCAGTGTCGATCGCATTACGCAAATTTTCGTCAGGGAATACACATTGCGGTGCGGCGGAGAGAACCAGCTGCTGATTCAACTCCTTCAGATTTCCGGCTAGATTCTCCCAGTACTGACTCTTACCGGAGCCCTCTATGTCGAAGTCGATGCCGTCCAAAACAGCGTCGCCTAGGGGCCGTGAGCCGGAACTTCCTCCGAGGAAGTTGCTCCAGAGGTAGTCAGCGAGCTGTTTGGCATCGTCGGCGGAGTTAAGAGAGTAGGTTCCCGAGCCACCGCCGAGGGAGAGAAGCACCTTGATGCCTTTGGCTTGGCAATCTTTGATCTGGGAGCTAAAGACGGTGCAGGTGTTGGCACCGGGATCACAGTGGCTGCCAAGGTTAAGTTGTGGGGTTTGGCCATTGCCAAAGGTGGACAAGAAAGCTATGTTAATGAACTGGTAGTTTCCGGTGTTACAGGCATCGGCAAGGGAGCCTTCCTCGCCGTGTTGGCCCCAATAGGTGGCGATTCCGGCAGCGTAGGACCGGTCAACAATGAAGGAAGAAATGAGAAGGAGAGGTAGGAAGAGAAGAGAAACTTGTTGAACAGAAGCCATAATGTTTATGTGGTGATTTTTGAAAGAAGAGAAGGACGATATTTGTAGTGTTTGTGTTGTGGAAAAGTAAGAGAAGCGTGCCTTGTGGGGGAACGAAATTATGCTAAAAGAGTACCCAAGAAATTGCTGAGCTAATTAAGCGTACAAATCAAGAAAAGCCGCCTTAACTAATTAATGTGAAAGCACATACTCAAGTCAAGCCCAAAAGACGCGGAACGAACTGTTCTTTCACTCCAATCTATAAAAAAAATCTTAAAATATATTAATTCTTTATTAAAATATAATAAATTTTTAACTTTACCCACCTTTTAAAAAGATAACTACTTATATTATAATATATTATAATAAATGAATGACAAAATAGTACGTTCACATTAAAAATTTAATAAAATAACTTATAAATATGACAACAAAAATCTTTTCTCTCTGCCCTATAATAGGACCAGAAGAGTAGTAATTTCCTTACCATAGGTGGAAGCAGAAAAAAATTATAATTAGCGGAGAGTTAATTGATTAACGATAACAAAACTATGGACGTACAGTTAATTGTGGCTCTATTTTGACGCAATTAAAAAAAGAATTTTTTAGCCATGACTCATTAATAATTGGGTTAAGGTCAGCACTCCAAACTATTTTGTGAGATACACCCAATACGCTAAAGTATTTTGTGGTGTAATTTTGCTTTTAATATGTATTTAAATGGGTGGAATTTCACCCAAAACTAACTGATAAATAAACGTCCCTTACTCCTTTGACAGATAAGCATATCGTTTTGACGCGTTCGATGAAAGTAGAGAGGGAAAAGCTTGGTGAAGGCCATGAGTCAACGAAGATGGGATTCGTTCATATTACTCGTCAAAACCATATGCTTATCTGTGAAAGGAGTAACGGACATTTATTTCTCAGCTAGTTTTAGATGAAATTGCACCAATTTAAAAACTTTAGGAATGAAATTGCACAACAAAATATTTTAGGATGTTAGCTGTACCGTACAAAATAGTTTGGGGTGTTAAGTGCACCTTAACCCTTAATAATAAATTCAATGTTCTACTAATATAATTTTTTTTGTCATAGTTTGTAAATACACACGTTTAATTTGTTACATCTGGTATTTTTACATACTAATTAAATAAGGAAAATGAGAGAAAAAATGATATGTTTGGGCTGATTAAAAATAAAGCAAGCAGTTTAGAGTCAAACTAAACCAAAGTAAAAGGAAAAATCGGTTGGGTCAAAAGATGTGAATATAAAAGTTTGGGGGTAAAAGCATAAATAACAGTAAAAGTTGAGCAAAGTATAATTACGAAAAACCCCTAAATTAGACACAAATTCCGTAAAATAGAAAAGAGAATCATAAGGCATTTTTAAGGCTTGGAGATCTTATTTAAAATTAAAATTCCTCCAAATGAATTGTTTGGTTAAAAATTATAATTTTAGGTGAAATTTTAAAAAATGAAGGAGAAAAATAATTATTCAAATTATTTAAGGGCTTAGAAAATTTGAGGAAATATTATGAAATATTATTTTGGGGATATATAAAATTTATGAAGAAATTTAGTTCACCAAAACTAGATTTAGGAAACAAAGTTTATAAAGAAAACAAATGAATTTAAAAGACTTATTATACGACATGATTGATTTATTATAATTTGACAAAGTTTTCCAACATGCATTGAATCATAAGATAACAGAGTTGGATAAGAGAATACATGAAATATATTATCATTATCAAATGTATAGATACTCAAACATAACAAGATGAACCAGAAAGTTCACTAAATATTATATTCATAAAATATTACAAATTAAAACATCTGCCATACACAATTACTAACCTAAATGAGAATGACTGAATCTCATATTTCATATTCCGATCCATAGTATAAGTAAAAGTGAGATCGACATACTTGAAGTATGAAAGACTGATCAATTTCAATACAAGTATCTTGAAAAAATAAAATCAAGAAGGATAACTCTTCCAAAATTCCCAGGCATGATTCCCCCATTGATTGAGAGTCACCTTAATACTTATTGAATGTTCATATACGACGAAGAGCCAATGCCAACCCATTAAAGTGGTCAGCCACCCATCTTTGTCTAGCCGCAACATGATCAGAGGCTACAAGAGTTTCTCCTATACTTCATTTTTGAACAATTCAAATGCCATATCACCATATAAACAGTCTACTTTAATCCAATTGTACGTGTACTTTCATATGGTTATAGACCTCTTCAAATTGACTTGAGTTAGAGCCAGACCCATCAAGTTGAGGTACTCCCACTTTCAATAGATCATTTTTCTCATAACTCAGTACAACGTTACATGGTATTTTAACTGAGTTTTCATCTTCCATATTCTCTGTTAAACATTTGTACTCCAAACTTAATTGGTATTATATATTTTCCTTTCTTTCTAGAAACTCTTCTCCAATTCAAAGCAAAATATATCAGCTCATAGTCAAATGTTGGGTTCAAGTCTGGAGGCAGTTCGTCCTGTAGAACACAAGCAAACTTGTGTATTATAACGTCATAGTTCCCTTTTGTTTATAAGATTAATTCCAAACCCCAATCAAGTTCTACATAAAGGAATGATAACGAGTAATTACAGCCTCTGCGTACCAACTCCCAAATAAGCATCATAAACATACAAAGAGCAAACTAGAAAAGCAAACTCCTCTAATTTCAAGTTATAGTGAATCTCAGACCACAATTCCAAGTCTGGGGAACAAACTTTCAGGAAAACCTGTTGGGGTTTCTTTTCTTTTCTTTTTAAGTTTCAGAAAGACAATTTGCAATATTCTAATCCTCCAGGCAGCTCTTAAGAAAGGTAGGTGATGAAATCCAGAATGCAGATAAAAAAATCAACTCAATTCTCTAGAAGAGCAGGGGAATGAAATTTCCGGTTAGACTAAATGTCAAACATCTCTTCAGGTTTGATTATAACATGAAGATTGGAAATTATATACGCTATTGGCAGAATGTTATAGGAAGAATGTACACATCTTTTGGAATAAATTGATCAACTAGTTCATATATACAGCTACAATTTAATGAAATAACCACTTTTCAAGATATAACCATATCCAATGATTATATAAGCAATCCCTGTACATCGAAAATGCCCAACCAGCATACCAATTAAATTAAGACAAAATCGGCAATGCAACTTCATAGGGCAAAATATGATCATGCCTCTAAACTTTGAAAATAAGCACCATTATAACATCCAAAGCCATATTTTAGGGTTCGAGCTTGAACAAGATTGTTCATTCTATGGCCAATGATGTTAACTAGGGAATTAGTGTGCTTTATATCACCATAGTTGGAATCGGTAAATCTGTTGGCACTAATTAATGAACTACTTCATTATAGCAAATCCATGAAATTACAGCTCTTCATATAATATAATCATACAAAGATTATGTGGGTTTCAAGCAGGGGAAGGAACATAAATATCCCGTTTGGTATGAGACATTAAAAATGAGATATAAGAATTAGAATTGAGATTCAGAAAATTAAATCTAACTAAAAAATATTTAATATGAAAGACTACTTGTTATATCGGATTTGATAAACCTATATATGTGGGAATGGGGAATGCCATGGGAGGAAATAGCATTCTTTAATCCCACTTTCATGAGTTTGTTTAATCCCATGTAATAAGAAATTACTCTTGTTAAATACTATTTTAATGATTTTTTTCAATTATAATTCCAATCCTTATTACTTATTTTCAATACTTTGTACCAAACGAAATCAAAGTTCCTTGTGGCAATGTTCTATTTTTTCACAATTGTGATGGCTTTGATTAGATTCGAAATGTCAGTTTTAATATGAAGTATCTTCCTTCAAATATTCACTAGGAAATAGTTACTTTTGAGGCTTTCCTTAATTTCAGCCATAACTTTTTTGAGCAAAGCCAATACTACTACTTCTTAATAACCAGCTCAGTACAAAATATACGCCCATAGGACCAGAAAAATTTGTGAAGTTGAAATAGGCTCTTGATATGTTAGATAAAATCGGAAATACTCATTTTCTCATACCACTCATTCGATACATAATCGAATGATTGTGAGAGTAACCATCCGTCGTTTTTAGAACAACGCCTCCCCAACCCTACAAGGCCAATCCTTAGCGGCTCAAGCCTTAAAGCGCGCCTTCCTTAAAACAACTTTAGTTACAAAGCTTGGCACACGAACTCACGGGCTTACGGTCTGTGACCGTAAGCATATTAAAAACTTAATTTAAATAATAAATATTAGCAAAATAAATTGTCAAATTAATGTCAGAATTATCAAACTAAACCAACCCAAACCATTATCCTAAATTTTGATAGAAAACTTATCCATTATTGCATAAACATCTCAATATTTTTGCATCATGCTAGATCATGCAATTTATAAAGGATTAAAACAAGTTCCGGCAAATACTATCTAAATAAAAAATGAACAAATATAATTATCAAAATGGTTAAAGCATATTTCAAACGATAAAAAAAATAGAATGCGAGTGGGTTAAAACGGGCAGGTCCTGAATGGGCTTATGCTTAAAAGGATTGGGCCTAAAAACTCATTTAGCCTCAAAACATGCAATTTTTGGAAGCTTAGTATTCAAAAGGCTCTGACTTAAATGGGCTGTCTTGATAAGTTTAGCCCGTTTTCTCATCTCTGTACTTTCCACCTCACAAGTAAGAAGTGGGGGATGACGAAAGACACCCACATAATTGAGAGCAAACAGAACAAAATAAACATGGCATGCATATATGTTATTTATTTGTCTACACACACAACTTTGCGACAATGGCAAAAGAAGCCAACCATCATACACAAAAACATCGTATATGACAGAAATAGACCGCAAATAACCTACGAACGACAGATAGAGATCTCAATTCAAGAGTTAATTTTCTTCAAAGTCTGCTCAACTACCATCTTCATATCATGCCAATCTGCAGGGCTGGGCGTTGCTTTCCCTAACATACAACGTATCATGAGTTG